TCACTACTTTCTGATCACATATCATGCGTCACCCCTGACGTTTGTTTGAGATATTTTTCTCTTGACATTGATATATTAGGAATCGTTTCAGAATGACAAAACATTTTTATTTCTGCAGTGTTTTCAGTAGTATTGAACTGTCGTTTAGACCAGAAGGTCTACCTCTTAATTTCCATTTTAACACTGTTCCCTGATCAAATAATTAGTTGTTTTCATTTGAGATGTTATGCGTCACTTTTCCCTCATTACGCTGGTAGTGTTCAGCCTTTCGGAAAGGTAAATGTGTCATGCTGGTGGCATCTTCGACCATCTTGAAGCAATTTAAATTAGGGTACTTAAGTAACAATGAATGAGTCTTATCTTGTCAGGCAAAAACACTGCGTTACAATATTGCGACAGAGTTCAGTTGCACCCGACCAATGTTTTTAAGCAAACAAAAAGGCTTTGACTCCTTCGAGCACCGATTGATTAGACTGCTTCGCTAAGCTCGCTTAACTGCAGCCACACAGAATCTTACGACCCAAGTTATAGTGTCTTCAGTTTCATTATCGGTTCTCATAGTCTGGAAACATATGACTGAGGCAACCCTGCGTGTCATGAAGAATATGACCTTGGTCATAGAGGGAACGTTGTTTTATACTGTTTTTAACGGTGAGTCATCGTAAATCTGGGCTACTTCGCTGATCAAGGTCTCTAAGCATTCGATGTCAATGACACCACAACAAAAATGCTGCTATTATTCCGTCGCATCTTCCGATATTGTGCGATCTCTACGGCCTGAATGATTTCTAATCCCATCATATGCACGTGTTTTATCTAACTTCGTTTTGGTCTAACTTAAGTCTAGATTCAGCAGCCAAACTTTCAATAGTACACTCAAGCAGTCACCGTTTTTCTCTAAAGCTGAAGCGAGAGTTGATATATTAAAGGCAGTTATCAGTTTAGAAAATTTTTCAATCGCAGCCTATACTAATCGAAAAAAGCCCTTCACACCACCAAGACCTCTAGAAACAAGGACACGAAGTGACCTTGCTGCATAACTAAAATGCATAAACTATGCCACTGCGCGCAGGAGTATTAATTTAAACCATCTCGAATTGATTTTAAATCAAGTATTGCATATTGATTTTCCAAAGCATTGGTTCTGCAAATAGAAAAGCCTCCAAGAGCAAATAATAACATATAGCTTCGTCCATGATTTCAATCTATCACCAGTCGCAATCACTGCGCATCCTTTGGCATCCTTAGAAAAAATTGATATGGAGCTTAACCTACCGTTCGATCCCGCCCTTAAGCGTCGTTTTGGTCTCACACCAAGACCAATCACTTTAGTACTGTTTTCTATGAGTACTACTTTGGACTATTAAGTTACGGCTTATTCACGATTTTCTCAGTTCTCAAGTTTTCAACGTTTTACAATTGGTTGCTGCTTAAAACTTACCACTTACCAAAGCACGACGGTTACGTTTCCACGTTTCGGCTTTTCTTCGAGAATCATAAGGACGATTTATGAAATCCTTTGGCAAAGCAGTGGACAGGTCGCGATAAAACTCAGTCCGGTGGGCCTTCTTCAGTCCCGTGCAAAGCCCAAAATCTGACAGTTTGATGTGACCCTGCAACATACAAAAACAAATTAATGCAAAAATGAAATATTTGGACTTGTGAAATGCATAAATAAGCAATTAGTACAAACATTGCAATGAGACGCTGCTATCTTATTAAAAAATTAAACCAGACACAAAACTATTATTAAAGGCTTATTTACATATCTTTATAAAAATGTTAAATGTCACCAAAGTTATTTTTATTTTCATCCAAAACATGGCTTTGGGGTGGCAGATCTTACGTTCCTTAATCCAGCATCGAACTGTTTGAGAAGTCACAAATAAAGCGGTTGTGCAAATAGATAGAAGATGGCTTCCGGAAGTCGAAACAATGACGGAACATAGTATCTATAGCGTCTAAAGCTATCTTACGGCTGAAGAGGACATCATTAGTTTTGTTGATATTAAACGAATTTCAGAATTATTATTAAATATTGTCACTAAACAATTAGATGCCACTTCAATGGTTCTAAAAATAACGAAACAGACTGGTGGCGACGAGTTTTCTAGAACTGCCAACATATCAGCCAAACAACATTGGCA